AAAAAAGTGTTAAAAAAAAACAAAATTAAGCCCTAGAATGACTCCCCACAAGACTGTTATAGTAGAAAAACTGCCTACTACCACTAAAGCATGGCATGATAGCCTTTAACCTCTTTACCTTCTACTCTTGTTTCACTGAACATATCACCATGTTATCTATCTTTTGACATGTATCAAATACTACCATTCCTTTCCCTGTGAAGCTATCCTTTTTATTTTCTCATCCCAGGATGTTTCTGAACTCTTCTCATATTGTCCATCTAAACTACTTCATTGATCTTTTACAATTGACTTTTTGAAGTTATCACACAGTGACTCTGAATTGAATTTTCTGTGTATACCTTATTGTTGGTAGAATGGCTTGTAATCACGAAGGCCATCATGAAGTTATTGATTAATTGGTTGGTTAAGCTAAAGGTAGAATAGTTGTAAAAGGAAACAATACATTTCTTCAATAAAAATGTTTTATTTCATGAAGTACTCATTTTTTTTCTTGACTGAATAATATATGTCTATATATGAGCTTGTAAAACAAACATTTGAAAGCCAAAATTTATGGCTGAGAGGTCTAAAAGTGGTGAAACTTCTGAAGAGCCTAATCTGCAGATTTATAACATTAAACAGATTTTATAATCAAGCATTGGCTGGGACATGGCTCGTATTGGGAGGATGGGAATCATAATGATGATCTGTTTTATGGGCTGTTATTTACTCCTCCTCTTTCACCGTTTTGTTGTGCTCCCTTCCTTTACTTGCTTTTGCCTTTTACTGAGAGTTTTTTATCCTTGGCTTCTGCTTCTTTGTTTTCTTTGCCTTTTCCTTCATCTTTCTTGTTTTTATCATCTTTTTCTTTTGTACTCTGGCTTGTCTTTGCATCTGTCTTTTCTTTGCCCTCCTTTCCCTTATTCTCAGATACTTCTTTACTAGGCTTTTCTTGGTCTTTCTTTTCTTTTGGCATTTGTGCCTCACCTTTCTTTTCTGGGGCTTTCTCTCCACTGGGTGTCTCTGCCTCACCTTTCTTTTCTGGGGCTTTCTTTTCTTTCAGTGTCTCTGTCTCACTTTTTTTTTCTTGGGCTTTCTGTCCTGATTCTCCTCCTGCCTTTTGTTCAGCTGCTGTTTCCTTTGGTTTTTCTTCTCCAGTTTTCTTTTCTTGGGCTTCAGATTTTTGTGGTACTTTCATCTCACTTTTTACTTGGGATTCTTGGGCTTTTGGTACTTCCTCTTTCTTCTCTTTTATCTGAGATTCTTTTTCTTGGGGTTGTTTTGGTGCTTCCATCTTACTCTTTATTTGCGGTTCCTGGTGTTGTGGTACTCCTTCTTGACTTTTCTTTACCTGGACTGCCTGTTCTTTTATTTCAGTATCACTCTTTACCTTGACCTCCATTCCTATCTTGTCTTTTTCCAACTCAGTGAATTTTGCTCTTTTTTGGGACTCCCTTTTTTGTATTGCTAAAGAATCTTCAGAATCTGTAAATACTTCCTTCTTTAGTGTTTCTTTGCTTTCTGTCATTTCTCTGTGTTTTGGAGGTTGGGCTTTGATACTTGATTTTTTTGTAAGTTCTTCATCCACGTAACCTGGAAGTATGACTGAACACACAACAGAAGTGCATGATTTAGATATGATGTATTTTCACTTTATCCCTATTTTCCTCTATTGGTTTCCCTCTTTTGTCTTAAAACTGGGAAACTAAAGTTAAGATTATCCTCAAAAATATAAGTGATGGAAATCACATAATATTATAGAATTATTGATAAGATTCTAGATGAATAAATTATAAGACTAATGAGAGAAAAGGTAAAATGTAAATGAATTGCATCTGTTCAGATTACAACTACTGAATAATGCTTAGGGACTAATTCAGGATGTATCCTTAAAATATTCAAAGCAAAAATTGTGTGAATAAGCAATAGTTACTATGTAAGACAGAAAAAGAGAACTCAGTTGTATTTTCCCTTTTGAATAAAAGCATATTTCAGCATGTAAAAGGACTAATAGTATGAGCTGATAATTATGAAATACCTTGTGCCAAGCACTCACTTTTATAAGCATTTTACATATAAAATTGCTTAATCTTCAGAACCATATAAGGTAGGTACTGTTATTATTCTAATTTTACAGATGAAGAAACTGAGACACAGAAGTTTGAATGAATGTAAATAGATCATGTAATTAGTGGCTAGTGGAGCTGGGAATGAAACCTATGTAGTAAAGCCTGCAGAGCTGTTTTAACCATCACCTTAGCCTGCTTCTTCTAGTATCTACTAGCTCACTTGGCCAAACTTTCAGATCTGTCTTATAATAGCAGGTGAATGAGCTCTGCTAGGTATCAGTTTCTTTGTTAGCTAATAAACTTGAATTTGTTAGCTTTTGCTAGGTATATTTTGGCTAGCTTTTTTTTCTTTTTCAATATTTTGGTTCCTTGAATTAAGTAAGAAATATCTAGGCTTCCAAGGAGAACTGTGTGGATTCTTGCTGTGCAGCAGACAGATGTCTTGCTTTGAGAAAACCTAATATTTTATATAGTAGGAAGAATACTGAATTTGAGCTTAAAAGAAAACCTGTTTTTACTATCCCTATTGACCAGTTTATTTGGAGAGTCACAGTTTCCTTTTTTTTTTTTTTTTTTTTTTTTGTCTTTTTTGAGATAAGGTCTCTCTATGCAGTTCAGGCTGGCCTTGAGCTCACTTTGTAGCCCAGGCTGGTCTTGAACTTGCAACCATCCTCCTGCCTCAGCCTCCCGAGTGCTGGGATTACAGGCGTGTGCCACCAGGCCTGGCTCCACACTTTCCTTATATTTAGTTTGGTGTGGTTACTTTTTAAAGCTATTGAGGGAGGTTAGCCAAAGGAACATAGCCTTTGGAGACAGATGCTGAAGTCCTGGCTCCATACCTAATCAGTGGATGACTTTGGGCAAACTTCACTTTCTTGTTTGTAAAATGGGAGCAGTAGTAGTAGCTATCTTGCAGAGGTGTTATGATGATTAAGTAATGTTACTTAAGTAAAACACTTAGTAAAGTGCATGGATCACAGTAAGTACTTTAGTCAAACATTGGCTAGTACTACTACCAAGTAAGATAATATGTGCAAAAACCACTGATCCAATAAAGGCAAGGCATTCTTAGTTCCCAACAAATAATTTAAAGGAGTAGTTAGTTCTATTACAGCTAGATTTATTGCTTAAAAATATTGGACTTTTTAAATATTGAAAGGAGTACTACTAAAAGAGTAGTTAGTCGTATTACAGCTAAACTTATTGCTTAAAAATATCGGACTTTTTAAATATTGAAAACTTTCTCATACATTTATAGGGATTGATGTTTGGAAAATTGACATTCACATAACTTTAGAATGTTATGTATAAAACAAGACACACCTGTGTTAAGTAAAAAATTAATTATAAGTCAAAAGTGATTTTATAGTTTGATGTTTTCTTTCTCTTATTTTAAGCTTTAAAGTTATGAAGCTTGCAACAATGTTCTCTGAACATTTCTATGAATTTTCTCCTCTATTGTTCTTTATTAAGAGAAGTAACATTTTCTTGAAGATAAATTAATTTCAAATTTTCTAGTTAAAATTAGTGGCAATATATTCCAAACACTGATGAATTCAGTAGAACATTTTAATCTCTGATATAGCTATCAGTTGTTTTGTTTTGGTTGGGGATGTGATGGGTGTAGGATGGTGGAGAGAAGAGTGTTTTTCCATGGATATGTCTAACCTTAAGAATTCTAATTGAATGTACTTCTCAAACAGATTTTTGTTAATATAGAAATACTTTTAGTTTTACCATGTCTTAGGAGGTAATTGTTTATTACTATGTATAATACTGCATGACTCATTTTTTAACATAAATCTGCCTTCTAACTCATATAGATTTTGTTAACCAAAATTAAGTATTCTGAAGTTTAATGAAACAGGCTTTTTTTTTTTTTTTAAGACACTCTTGCTATGTAGTTCAGGCTGGCCTTGAACTCACAATGTAGCCCAGGCTGGCTTTAAACTCTCGGTGTTCCTCTTGCCTCAGCCTCCTGAGTGATGGGATTACAGACTTGTGCCACCCAAAAGAGATTTTATTCTACTTATCCTTTCATAATTTCATAAAATTTAAAAAATTATTATTTTTCTCATTGCACTGAGAAATACCTTATTACTTCTAATATCTTTACCCTTGATTATTTGATTATTTTAATATCTTTTCCATCTTGAATTTAAATAACAAAAATTAGATTTCCTATGATTCATTTTTCAGGAATCTAGCTGTCCCATAAAACGAGGCCCACTTTTATTTCAACTTAACTTTGCGGAAGGAAACCACAAATCGTTACTTCACCACATTCTAAGTTAATGTCTTCTATATTTTAAGATAGTACTTAAATCTTTTCTTTCTCTTGGACTTAATGGGCATCCTATATTTACAATGTAAATCTTCATAATACAAAGTCCATTTATTGCACACAGTAGGCCATACAACAAAATTCTAATGTAATAAAAACTTTAATCAAGATTTTGGGGATCACTGTAATTTATTCAGACTGATTAAAATTAATGATTATAAATTTTAATTTTGCTGAAGATGAAAGATATAAGGAAATAGCTATCACATTAATAATTCTAATTTGTTATACTTAATGTTGAAAAGAGAACATGGTTTTTATTAGGAAACTAATCTGAGGTTCTTAATTTAGTGGTCAAGAGGGAGTGCACAATCATATATAGACTCTAAAACAAATCTGTTAAGCATGAGAAGGATGAATCATTACAGTTTTCAAACCATTGATTACATTTTAAAGTATTACATATGTAACTGAATGTGGAGGTGAGAAGAGACTTGAGAGGATAATAATATTTTATGGTCTAGTTTGTCTTAAATCTTTTTTGAATTTTAAATTGAATCTTATATATACTATATCAGTAAGAATATACATTTTATAAGAACATATTTCAAAAGAATGAATTGAAGCCAGGTGTGGTGACCACCTGTAATTCCAGCCCTCTGTGAGACTGGGGCAGATGGATGGCAATTTTGAATTTAGTGACTTAGTAAGATTTTGTTTCAAAATAAAATATAAAGGTAGAGCTGGAGATATATCTCCATATATCTGATTTTTTGGGGGCAACTTTAAAAATATATTCAGTAAAAAAAGAATTAATCTCTGGGGTGAGGAGGACTTGGCTAGTGATCCTTCACAGACCATATTATCATTTATGGTTCATCATCATGAAGTTGATGCATAAAGTTAACCACAGACAATGCTTTTTCTTTTTATAAGGAAACATACAAGAATATAGTTCTGTCACTCTCCTTGTGTGGGGAAGGCATTTGAGGGATATGGGCACAGAATGACTGCTATGAATGCACATTGTGTTTTGTACCATGAGCCCTTTTCACTTCATCTTCCTGCCCTCTTCTTTCCTTTACCCAGTCTCTTTCTAGAAAGAAGGATGAAATTTTAATATGATTCAATGTTAAATATCTGTTCTGGGGAAATTTGCTCTATTTTGTCAGTGTTTGGGATGTTTGAAGTTCTTTTTTTTTTGCCTTTTTGAGACAGAGATTCACTATGCAGCTCAGGCTGGCCTTGAACTCACTTTGTAGCCCAGGCAGGCCCCAAACTCATGGCGATTCTCATCTCTCAGCCTCCTGAGTGCTGGGATTACAGACATGCACCACATGCGCCTGGCAGGAATGTTTGAAATTCTTGAAATAGGTCTCATTAGATATGTCATATTTGCTGCTACTTTGTTTTATTTATTTATTTTTGTGGTACTGAGGATTGGACCTAGGCTTCCCACGTGCTAGACAAGTGTTCCAGCCCTGAGTTCATAGTGGGTACTCAATACCTAATATTTCCCAAAGGTAAATTTAGTTAGAAAGCAACAGAAAGTTGAGATTTTGTTATTATTTTTCCTTATTATTAATATGATTCAGAAGTTCTTTACTTATAACTAAAAAAGAGTTCTAAATTCCCCGTAAAGAACTAATGGAATTCAGAAACCAATCTTTTTTTTTAAATTATATTTTGCTTGGGGTCAGTGAAGAGATTCTTTCTCAGAGCCTACAAGATGGCCAGAGATTATGGCCTCCTTTCATAGGAACTTTATCTCCATAGCACAATGTTTTCTGAAATAAATATATAACACCTCAGAAGATTTTGTGTAATGGAAACATTTAAAATAACCTTAGAAGCACAAGGCTCTATTTTGGAGTAGAATCAGCCAAGCCAGGAAATGGTAAGGTAAAATGTTAGAGGTGAGAATAGATCAGGAACTCACCCATAGGACATAGTGCTAAAAATAAAACACAAAAGAAAGATCTGTGGAGATTTTCTAACTTAAAGAGAATCCATGTTCCATGGTCTTTTGAGGGAAAGTCAGAAACAGAAACTCCAGGGAGTATAGAATCATCTTTAGGAGTGCTGCTAGTGAAAGTTCAGCATCCCATTTCACAGAGAGTGTTATTTTATGCCATTTAGTTAATATAAAGATTTTGGCCTTTGCATAAGTAATGATTTTACCAAAATTCAAACTATTGCACTTCCTGCCTTTCTTTGTTCTTACACAAGTCACCACCTGTGGTCAGTTAAAAGAATGTGTCTTGTGGGTTCCATATTATTTTGACATGTATTCTTTGACACTCTTAGAGGATTTTCTGTTTTAGTAAAAATTACCAGTTCCCAGAGTTTAGCACAGAGAAAATAAGCTCTGTAGTGATAGAATGGCTTGGAATACACGCTGTGGGAAAACATGGGAATAGTCTTTGGTAGTAGAATCAGATACAAGGCCATTGTAATTTGCTATGAAAACAAAGTAGATAAGTGGGAATCAAAACTAAAATATGAGGAAACCACATAAAAATAATGGCTATTTTGAGGTAGAAGAACTTGTAATTGAAGAAAATTTGGCAACAAAAATTCAAAAGTCCTAATCACAGGAATAGGTAATATAAAGAAGTGTGCCAAACTTACCGATTTTTCCAAAAGCATCCACTGAAATAGACAAAGGCAAACATATCAGTAAGTATTGAGCTTTCCCTGCTTCCCAACACCCTGATCTCTTCATTGGCTGGAATCTCTAAGCAGTGCATCTCAGGGGACATTGAGGGGCAAGCCTGACCACCAGGAAAACTAGGGACACAAGTGACATTTGCTGAGCTGCCAGGGAAAAGAGAGATTGAGCTTTCTGCATCTGGGATCAAACACGACAAGACAAGGGACTAAAACAGTCTCAGAACTCCACCCCACTCAGAACAAGTCCAGGAGACATCGACATAGGAGAACTTGGTAAACACACACCTGAAATTGCTGAAATGATTGCAATGGAAGTAAAGAAACAACTTCATCAGGCCAAAGAAGAGATCACATCAGAAATAATCTCTTAGGCAAAAAATGCAATGACAACAATAATGTAAGAACTGCTCAGCACATCTGAAGAAAAAACATATAAGAAAATAGAGTAACATAAGCAATGGGCGGAAACATTAAATGAAAAATATAGAAATGACTTAGAATCATGAACCAAATTCAGAGAGACTTCCAGGAAAACAAAGCTTCCATTGAAAGCTGCCAAAACCGCCTGAATGAAGCTGAAAAGAGAATTTCAGATTTTGAAGACAGTGTGGCAGCTAGTGACCGTGGAAGAAAGGGTCTCTTAAAATCAACAAGGAACCAGGAAAAATCAATTCAACAGCTGCAAGATGAGGCAAAGAGGAATAATGTATGACTAATAGGAGTCAATGAAACAGCAGGAGGCAACACAAATGACATAAAAAGAATATTGTCAGAAATAATAGCAGAAAATTTCCCAAGTGTGGAAACAGAACCTGATATACAGGTAAACAAGGCATATAGAACTGCAACTAATCATGGCCAAAATAAAACTACACCCAGACATAGAATAGTCAAGATCCCAGATCTTCAGCAAAAGAACAGAGTATTAAAAGCTGCTAGAGAAAAGAAACAGATTACGTATAAAGGAAAGCCCATCAGAATCACGGCAGACTTCTCAACACAAGCCATCCAATCAAGAAGAGCTTGGAGCAAAGTATTACAGATCCTGAGACAAAACAGCTTCCAACCAAGACTGATGTACCCTGTCAAACTCTCCTTCAGATTCAATGGAGAAATAAAATATTTCCATGACAAAGAACAACTGAATAATTTCATGAGTGCCACACCATCATTGCAAAAGGTACTAAAAGATTCTAGTCAGAGAAAAAAATGCAATTTCAAGAACAACAAAAGAAAGGAACAGTTAAGAAGAGCAAGCAGTTAAACAGATAGGAAAAGTGGGAAACCAACAGCAGGTAAATAACATGACAATGGTAAGTCAACACATATCAGTTATAACCATAAATGTAAATGGCCTCAATTCATCAGTCAAAAGAAACAGACTGGCAGAGTGGATTAAGAAACAAAATCCAACAATATGCTGTATACAGGAAACACATTTCACTGAAAAGGAAACACACAGACTAAAAGTCAAAGGATGGAAAACAATCCTTCATGCAACAGGAACCCAGAAAAAAGCAGGGGCAGCTATTCTGTTTGCAGACCATGTAAACTTCAAACCGACAACAATCAAAAGAGATAAAGAAGGTCACTACATACTAGTCAGGGGAAAACTGCAAGAGGATGAGATAACAATCATAAACATGTATGCAGCAAATATCGGAGCACCAAAGTATATAAGACAAATCTTAACAGACATGAAAACCCATATAATTAATAACACTATGGTAATAGAGGACCTCAATACCCCTCTGACACAAAGAGATAAGTCAACTGGACAAAAACTCAGCAAAGAAATTAAGTCTGTTTTAAATGTAGCGAATCTTCATTTCCTCCCCCTTCTCTCAGTACGTTGTAGAAAGATCTTGTGATGAGCTACTTCAAATTGCCTTTCTTTTTCTTTTTTTTTTTATTTTAAAGATAAAAGGAGGGAAACATTAACAGACATACAACATTTTAGAACATATCACAAGCACAATACAGACAATACAGAGTTACAAACAAAGTGGTAGGGAATTAACAATGGTGGTTGTATTACATATTGATATCTTCAAAGTGGCCTCTCATGAAAACAGATATAGACATGCAATACTGGTCAACCAAAGACTCATTGAAATTGCCTTTATTTTTCATTAATAACTAGGAATTCCCTTGGAGTTTCAAGATTGCAATTTATAGATAGAGATGGTGGTACACCTATAATAGCACTCTAGGAGGTTGACACAGGTGAGTCATAAGTTCAAGCAGAGCCTGGGCTATTTAAGGAGACTTTGTCTCAACAAACAAACAAAAACCAACCAACCAACACACACAAAAGCCCACAAACACACAAATAAAAAAAGGGGCTGGGGATGTAGCTCATTGTGAAGGGCTTGTGTTCAACACAGTTGTGGGAAATTTATTATTACAGAATATGGGATATTTAATGGCCTTAGAAGATGTATGCTTAAGTATGTATTCACTTGATATGACTTATTGTAGGTACAGTTGTTGCCAAATACTGAAATTTCAGTTTATCTCTTATGTTAATGTTACTTAAGACAATTAGCATAAAAATAATAGGAAAACATGAGATTGTGAGAAACACAATAACAGGATGGCTTACCACAACAGCAGGATGGTTGAAAATATGGACATGGGCTATTTACATGCTAGAGCAGTGGTTGGCAAAGTACTATACAGCCCATGGAACAAATCTAGATTGCTGCCTATTTTTATATATCTTGCAAAGTTCAACTACATTTTACATTATTAAGTAGTTAAGAGATAAGAATGCTAATACTTTGTGGCACATAAAAATTATATAAAACTCATGTTTTACTGTCTGTAGAGTATTGGGACATATCCATGCTCTTTTTTTTTTTTTTTGTCTTTCTCCGGTACCAGGAACCGAACTCACGACCTTGCGCTTGCCAGGCAGGCGCTTTGCCGCTGAGCTAAATCCCCAGCCCCATCCATGCTCTTTTGTTACATGTTGTCTGTGATTGCTTTTGTGCTACAACAGCATAGTTGAATAGTTTAACAGAAATTTCATGGCTTATAAGAGTTAAAGTATTTATCCTGCCCTGTATAGAAAAAGTTTTCTTTCTTTATCCCTGGAGGAAACTACAGTACTAGAAATAGATTAGGAAGTTACTAGTAGGTAACTTGAGATATTCCTGAAATTAAAGCAAGAAGATAGGTTAACTGAACCAGTTTGTATCAGGAATACAGTTCTTCCTCATTCCTGTTTCCAATTCTTTCTTCCAGAGAACCATCAAGAGTGCTTTACCTAGCCGGTGTGGTGGCGCACACCTGTAATTCCAGCACTCGGGAGGCTGAGACAGGAGAATCATTGCAATTTCGAGACCAGCCTTGGCTACAAGGTGAGCTCAAGGCCAGCCTGAACTGCATAGTGAGACCCTGTCTCAAAAAGATAAAAAACAAACCGAAAAACAAACAAACAAAAAAACAAAAAAAGAGTACTTTACCTAGCAGAGTATAGTGAAAATAGTGGGACAGTAGATCCCTTAGTGTGTTATAAGAACCTGATACTTTTTTACCACCTTAACAACTCCTACTATGGGGGGGCTGGGGATTTAGCTCAGCGGCACAGCGCCTGCCTGGCAAGTGCGAGGTCGTGAGTTCGATTCCTGGTACCGGAAAAAAAAACAAAACCAAAAACAACAACAACAAACAACTCCTACTATGGTCCAAGTTATTGTTATTTCTCTAATTGACCTCTGTGCTTTTTTTTTTTTTTTTTGAGACAGGGTCTCATTATGCAGTTCAGACTGGCCTCGAGCTCACTTTGTAGCCCAGGCTGATCTCAAACTCACAACGATCCTCCTGCCTCAGCCTTCTGAGTGCTGGGAGTACAGGCATGTGCCACCATGCCTGGCTTCTCTGTGCTTTTTTATCCTTACTTCCTCACTGGTGCACAGGGCAGCAGCTGCAGGGATTCTTGTAACATGTCACTCCTCTGGTTAAGATTCATCAGTGACTCCCCATTTAGCTTGAACCAAAGTTAAAAGTTACTACAGTGACTTTCAAGGAAAGCCCTAAAAGATCTGTCTTTCTGAAGCTTTCTGACAGCTTTTATTCCTATCATTTTTTCATTCTTCTCCAGATAAATTCAGGCAAACCTTAGACACACTGCAAGTTAGTTCCAGGCACCAGAATAAAGTGAATACTGCAATTAAGTAAGTCACATGAAATTTTTGGTTTCTCAGTAGATATAAAAGTTATGTTTACACTGCAATTTGCAATAGCCTTATATCTTAAAAAGTCTATACCTTAATTAGAAATACTTACTTGCTAAAAAAATTCTAATGATTATTTGAGCCTTAAGTGAGTTTTAATATTTTTGTTCATGAAGGCTTGCTGCTCATGCTGTTTCCTGCCTACCATGCCACATAACTGTTTCTCTGCTAGGCCACCCTGCCTTGGAGCCAGCCGACTATGGTCTGAAACTTCTGCAAACTGCGAACTGAAATAAACCTTTCCTCCTTTAACTGGTGGGTGTTGGGTATTTTGTCCCAGCAATCAGAAAAATAAGACTAAAGTAGTCACCTTCATCAGTAATCTTAGCTAGATCTTGATAACTTACTCTAGTTTCTACATCAGCACTTATTACTTTGCCTTGGCTTTTTATATTTTGGAAATGGTTTCTTTCCCTAGACCTTAGGAAGCAGTCTTGCTAGCCTCAAGCTTTTCTTCTGCATCTTCTTCACTCCTCTCCAGAGTTAGATCCTTGGTTTGGAGCAGGCTTGTGGCTGGTTTGATCAGACCATTAAAGCTTTCTCCATTTCAGCAGCAAGGCTCTTTTGCTTTCTGTCCATTTGAGTGTTCATTAGAGTAGTACAGTACTTTTAATTTTCTTAGAGACTGTTTTCTTTGAGTCCATATCTTGGCTATTTGTCTAAGGGGCCTAGCTTTCTTGTCTTGGTTTACACATATCTACCTCACTAAGCTTAATCATTGTGTGCCTGTGATTTAAAATGAGAGATGTGTGACTCTTCTTTTCACTCGGATACTTGGAGGCCATTGTAAGGTTATTAGCTGGCCTAATTTCAGTATTATTGTGTGTGATGGAATAGGGACGCTTGAGGAGATATATATATATATATACGGGGAGCTAGCTGGTCAGTGGAATAGTCACAACACGTACATTTTTGATTGCTTGCCATTTAACATGGGTGCAGTTCATGGTGTCTTAAAATAATTGCAGTAGTAAAGATCATTGACCAAAGGTCACCATAACAGATATAATAATAATGAAAAAGTTTAAAATATTGTGAGAAGTCACACAATATGACACAGAGACACAATGTGGTGCAAATGGAACTGATAGAGCTGCTTGGTGAAAGGTTGCCATAAATCTTTAATTTATGAAAAAAAAAAAGTGGCATCTGTGAAACACACAGCAAAGAGCAACAGAATGAGGTATACCTATACTTGCTTCTTTGCTTTTCCTTCAATATTCTGGAAGTGTTCCTACCTTAGAATGGCTTATATTCTCCTCTAAAATAGTCCCCCTTTGATATCTTACAGCTAATTCTCTCACCTTTCATGTGCTGTTTAGATTTTGTCAATTGCTGAGAATGGAGTGTGGAGTTTCTTAACTATAATTGTTTTTCTGTTTCTCTTTTTAGTCCTATTACTTTTTGTTTCTCATATAAAGTATTTGAAGCATGGCTGTTTAATGCACATACATTTAGGTTTTTTTTTTTTTTTTGTGCTACTTAGTATTGAACCCAGGGCCTTTGGACTGAGCAACACCCATAGCACCTTTTTATCTTTTACTTTGAGATGAGGTCTTATTAAGTCTCTAAATAGGCTCAAACTTGCTATCTTCCTGCCTTGGCCTCCCAGAATCCTGGAATTACAGGTGTGTGCCTGTAATCCATACCCAACAAGTTATGCTTTTTGTGTACTTTGTTAATTTTTGTAACTGGTATATTTAGATTTACTGTTTTTATTCAACTGAAGTTGTAAATGTGTATAATTTTCCCCAGTGTCGTGAAAGGCAGGTCTCAATTAAATTATTTCAAGAAGGGAGAGTTAGAAATGGATTCTTCTTGCAGTAGTGGTGGTCCAAGATTGGAAGGCAGGGACAAAGACTAGTCTTTATTTTTTATCATCAATTTTATTTTGGCTAGTGCTTTCTCGTTTTCTTTGCAGTCTGTCCCTCCTCATACTCACACTTACTGCATCTAATTTTATTATTTTTACCTTTTATCTTTGGGAATATTGTTTTGTGACTCTGTAGTTTCAGACTAAAATATAACATTTTTATGTATTATTTCCCTGATGTTTCCTGTGACTCCAACATATTTTACCAGCATGGTTTTCCTTTTTTTCCCCTTTTGTAACTTATATCTTATCTTTAACCAAAGGAGCACTTTTTCTCCCTTTGTCTTTTGCATGTGGTTTCCTACTTTTATGGCCCTTTGATTCATCAAACTAAAACTAAAACCAAACCAAGCACCCCACCACCCACTTACCCACCCATCCACCCAGCACTACCACCAATACCACCAACAATCAAAAGGGCTCTTTGTAATATAAAGGAATAAGAGAAAGTGTGGAGGAAAAGAGGTAGAAAATGGTTTGAGTCTCAGGGTCTAGAAGGAGGAGATGTCAGAAGTGTCAGTGCAAAAGAAAGAACCCAGGCACTACACAAAACTAGAGGAATAGAGAAAGATAGTAGGAACTTACAGGCTGCTACTGGAGCAATTGCTGAAAAAGAAAATAAAAACAAATTAGTTTTTTTTTTAACAGAAAAATTATATACTGAGTTCCCATTGAATATCCCTTAGTATACCATAGGAAGGACTTTGGGAAAACATTAAATCTTTGAAGAATATGCTTACATCTTTGAAGAATATCATTAAGTCAGTCAGTTTTCTCCACTTTAACAACCTAAATAACCAGGCCATATTGGAAAGCCTGGGTCATATTTGAAAGCCTGTGTTTCTGAGGTTATTTTTTCTAATGAAATAAAAATTTTAAAATATTCCTAACCTGGGCAAAGTATTACATAATTTCAGGAGATTCATTAAAGTTAGATTACCTTGTTTGTAATCTTTTTTTGTCTTCTGCTATTCCTTCTTTTACATAGTTATCATGTCAGCTCTCCCTGTATTTTTTTTACAGTATAGGAAATTCATTTATAATTATAAGTCTTGAAACTTTTGCCATGATAAACTTAAAATTTTTTCTTTCTGGTAATACCTGGGGTTTTAGTCAGAATTCTAAATCTGCCTTTGGGAGCCAAGGATATAACTCAGTGGCACAAGCGCAAGGTCCTGAGTTCGATTTCTGATACCAACCCCCCCCCCCCCCAAAACAAAACAAAACATAAAACCCTAAATCTGGCTTGGGAAAAATGTGTTAGAAAAAACTTTCAGATATTTTAGGATAATAATAGCAGAATTATGAAAGAGCAAATGAATTTATATATGAAGCTGATATCTTACTTTGGACTGTTTACTTACTTTGAACTTGTTTGTATCCCTTCCAAACATATATATTGAAATCCCAGTCCCCAGTGGAATGGTATTTGGAGGGAGGGCCTTTGGGAGCTAATTAGGTCATGAGCATAACCCTTCATGAGTAAGATTAGTGCTTTTATTAGAAGACATGAGATTTTCTCTTCCATGTGAACATACAAAGAGGAGGCATATGTCTACAAACTAGGAAGACAGCTCTTAGCAAGAACTGAGTCCGTTAGCTCCTTGATCTTGGAATTTTCAACTGCCAGACTGAGAAATATTTAAATGTTTGTCAGCTTGTGGTATCCTGTTATTGAATATTATAGACTAAGACATAGCCTTTACTAAAATACCAGCATACTAGTGTGATCGTAGGACATGGAGACAAGTATTCTTGCTTGCACATCCAAGAAGTGTTTGAATATGGCAAAGCAAAGATGATTTAATTTCCTGAATCTTTTATATAGTCCTAAATGTATCATGGTGAATTATATTGGAAGTGGGCAAAATGGAGTGAATTTACCCCCTTTTCCCTTTTATTTTCAATTTTTTGAGAATTTAGGAGTTAAAAATGCCGATTTTAATTTAAAATTTGATTCTTTTATTTTTTTTCTTATTTCCGTCTCTCATACTCTCTCTGTTCTATTCTCTTATGTTCTTCTAGGTTTCTACTACTTAGTTTATTTATTCCTTGCCTTATTTAAAAAAATATGTGAGTTATTTTACTTTAGGATTGTTATGACTTCTATCCAGACATCCCCCAAGTGCCTCATGTGCTCATAGGCTTGGCTTTTGGCAGGTGGTGGAATCCTGGGCGTGACAGCTAGCTTCGATAAGGAGGTGGTCTGGCTGGGGAAGCGGGAAGCGCGTAGCTGGAGGCCGACTTGGAAGGATGTGTCTCCCTCCAGGATACTTCCCTCACACTGCTTTCTGGCCACTGTGAGGTGAGTAGCTTTACTTCAAGGCAGTCCCTTCTCCCGGGCTGCTTCTACTTGGAGCAGGCCATTCATGTAAGGACCGAGACTTCTGAAAATGTGAACCAAATAAAACTCTCCTCCTTTAAGCTGTGGGTGTCAGGTACTGTGCTCTAGTGATGAGGAAAGTGACTAAGAGAAAGGCTTCATGTGATATACTCATATTGTGCCTGTCCTCTTTATTCTTTGCACCAGTAGAGTTTTTCACTTAAAATCAATAATTTTAGAAAATGCAGAAGAATCTGAATGCAAAAAAGATGAAATACATCACTTAGACTTTGCATTAATGTAAGCGAGTAGAGCCAGTTACAGCATAGGGCCTGAGCCGTCTGGGGAGGCAGACAACAGCAGAACGGTCGGTCAGGCAACGCGTTGCTGGGGTTTGAAAAGAACTACAGTATCAATACGACACAAAGTTCAAGCTGCCAAAAATTCAGTTTCTACTCGTATTCTTTCATAGTAAGACAGAAAAAGAAATCTTCAGTCAGCCACTCTTTTTCCTAAGAAAGAAGCTGTAATAAAATATGATAGGTTAACTCTCCTATTGTTTTTGTACATTAAACTAAGCCTAGAGAACAGAAAATTAGTATATCCCAACTTCACAAAAACTAGGTAACCAGAGTGGTGGAGGATGGTAGTATTAGGAATTTTTAAATATTAGTTTCAGGATCAAACATTAATTTCATATAATTATGAATAAGCACTGTCTATGAATTATGAGGTAATAGTTGCTGTACAAACTTTACAATTAGTTAAAATTTATTCTTTTCTCATAGCTCATTTAAGAAAAGGTTGAAATATAATCATTTGATAAAAATGGCTGGCCTTGTGTGTGGGTGGAAGGACTATGGAAAACTGCTGAAAGATGGATGAATTTATCAGAAAATCTCACTAAACCAAAGTCATTAAACAGGAATTTGTTAATGCTAATGCTCCTAAAAATAATAGAACGGACTAAAGTTTTATCATCTGATAAAATATTCCCAGCTGCTTCACAACACATGAAGTCCTTGAATAGCAGCGCCAATTTAGAAGAATTTCTTTATGATGACCAGATAAAGGACTAAACTAATAAAAGGTATTTCCAAATCCTGTATCAAAACAAATAAAAGTAGACCCTTTCTGGGGATTTTGCTTTGAAAAGAGTATAGAGCCTGTCTTTCCGATAGAGTTGGAGAGGTTATCACCTCCAATAATTGTAACAAGAAAAGTTTAAGTCTATTCTAAGAGAGACAGGTAGGAGGGGAAAAGCGTGTTTGTACACACATGAGTCTTAGAAAATTGGGGGGAAAGGCAAAATCCTGTTTTCACTGGTGAAGTATTTCTTTTGAAAAAGCTCCACTAGAAAGTGTGCTAAAGCAGACTGTGGAAATACCGTAAGAGGAAAGAATTTGGTGGTTCCACATTCAAATTTAGATTTTATGATTTTCCTGCTTTCTGTCTTTTGGCTGTGAGACTTGTCTTCCACTGTCCCTCTCTCCTTATCTTCAGATTTTCCCTGTGCCTTGATTTGTTATTGATAAAATGTTTAAATTGTCATCAGCACTTGTTCTCCTCCATTTTTCCCTCTTCTTGTAAGAATTTACGTTTGATACCAATTTATGAGTAAGTTAATCAGTTATTCCAGTAAAGTGGAGGGAAGGGAATGACAACAGATTTAGAAGGATGTGAGTAGGGTAATACCTCAAAGGGAAAATGTAAATTAAATGTTTGGAAAGATTAAATAATTTGCCCAAAGTCACATATTTGGTGTTTTGGCTGGGATTTGAACGTAGATCTCTGGTTGATTCCTTTCCTAACTGTCATAATCCATCTTTGCTCGTTTTGACAGTTAACATTATGTAAATAGTTTCATCCCATATTTAGAATTTTTTCTTTAGAGCACATCTCTAAAAATGGAGTGTACTGTATTTCTTATGTGTACAGTAACATACTGCACATTTGTTTTCTGAAAGGGTTATGTTAACTTAAATGGGGTCAATAATATATGAAAGTATAATTGTTTTGCCCAAACATTTCTAGCACTAATTGTATGTAATTGTACATAAGATTTCCCCTTCATCAAGTGAAAAATACATCAGTCTGAATTTTTCTGTCCTTTATTCTTGATTATATACAATTGTTTATTGCTAATCATTGTGCTTATTGTTTTAAAATTCATAAGTACTTATGGGGGTACTAGATACCAGGGAAGCAAACGGGGTTGGAAAATGTCCATGTAAAATACTTTACTTCAGGGAAAATTTTGTAAAGGATTAAGAAATAGATGAACGATAACTTACCAATTGGTATTGGAGTTACTGGCAAAACAACATGAAACAAAAATGTATTAGCAGACATTTTGGATCAAGAACATAGTTTCAGTCCTTGCTCTTTCCAAGGGGTTAATAAAGAGATCTTGGAAGATACAAAACCTCCCCCTCCCAAAATATTTATAATGAAATAAGGGGAATTAGCATTTCTTAAAGAAACATTCCCCGTGTGACTGGCTATAGAATATATTTTTCTGTTTTACCTAGTAGGAAGGTTTACTGCAAAGAACTCAAACAATTTTGAACGTGAATGCTAGTTGCAATTAATTGCTCTTTTAATCACACTTAATCTGTCTGCTTTTATTCCTCTTTGGTATGTTCTTTATATCTTTCCTTTTGGCAGTGTGGAACATTTTATTTGTTGTTGAAAGCTATTAGAGAATTTTGAAGAAAATAAAATGCATCTTTTCTGCTTATTTTCCTAATCAACTGTTTATTCTTTCCAGAAAGTAGTAAGTCAGCAGATTGCTAAGCAAAGGAGAGGATATTTATAAACAGAAACACTAAATGGAATTTAGGTAGGAGTTAGGAAAACTTTTCCTCATTTTGGGATCCCAATTTTTACCAGATTTATGAAAAGAAAAGGAACTTACTGATAGGTACTGCTACATGTGCTAAAATCCAAATACAAATTATTAATATGGGTTGACACTAAATACAGAATTGACAATGATAGTAGAATTCTTAACTGCTTTTTTTTTTTCAGATAGGAAATTTCTGGGATTAAGAAGGAAGTGCAAGCTCCAAGCCTTTTATATTATTTTAGTCTTTTCCCAGCACTAGAGTCATTTTGGAAGAGGAAGAAAAGATGAGTTGTCATCCTTTTATCATTAACTTCTCTTGGAAAATGAAATACCACAGAAATAGAAAAACCTCCTTTCCCTTATCTTTTGCTTTCATTTTTCCCTCTTGTCACTTGTTGCTTAATTTTGCATGAGTTTTCTACTTTTCTCTGTCATTTCTATCATATATTTAATTAAAAATACTCTTTTTGTTTAAAAATCAGTAGAGCCAATTCAAGAGATTTTTTGATTTCACCCTCAAGTGTTTGTCTGTTTCACTTTTAGGTACTTAGTAACCAAAGGGAAAGAGTCAAGTCAACTGTGTATAAAGATAAATAAACACGGAGATAAATAAACATGGGCAGTTCTAGCGCAGTAGCCTTTGCTTCCTACCTCCCTCCACTATTTTATCATTGCATTAGTCTTGCTAATTATGTAAAGTTTTGTTTGCTTCTAGCAAAACATTTTAACTTACAAGGAAAAAAATTATCATGTTTATTTTCCCATTAATCTTCGTGGTCTATTCTTTCAATGAAATCGTAAGTGTTCTGACAGAATTCTGCTAAGTGGAAGTGGGTATGAGAAATATAAGTGTCAGTTCTGCTGTTAAAATGGGAACAGCCACATTCAGCAAAGTCCCACAATGAGCATGTGGCTTAAGCATCAGACGTAAAGGAGGTTTCTGAGAATTGCAAGTATCATTAAAGTGAGACAATATGCATTTTGTTAATGCCTTCCAGTGAATGAGGATAGAAAAAAACATTTTTAAGTAGTTCTAGAACATATTTTTCACATTTAGGAGTGCTAATTCCAGAATAGGAGGAATGAGGTACTTCCCCTTCTATTTTCCTTAACCATGCTTGATGTGAAATATGTCAGTAATATTTAAATTCATATGTAAACTTGGGAAGGGCAGAATCTTTTTTTGTCTTGGTCCTTGCCATATGCCCACTGCCTGGCACATGGTAGGCCCTAAATAACTTTTTTTAACTTTATTTTTTAATTATGGAAAAAATTTCAAAACAAAATGATAGGATAGCAGTAGTTAATATATTGCCTATTGTTATCTTCAAAGTAGTTACTCAGCGTACAAGATAAGGCACGAAAAATTCTTTAAATGCTATTAGCACAAACCTTTTCAAAGAACTAAGATAAATTAATAGTATAATTATCTTCTTTTTTTGTGTATTGATTATAGTTTCCTTTTGTATTTTAAAGAGAATAAAAAAACAATAAAAACATACAGACTTTCAATACAAGAAGATAGGAAATTAACCACGGTTATTATATTGAGCATCGTTATCGTCAAAGCAGTTGCTCAGATTACCAGATACAGACATGCAAAATTGATCAAACAATATAAGCACTAACTGTTCCTTTCAGTGCACTAATAGAAATTAGTAGTACAGTTATCTTAGCTGTCTTGTGTGTGTGTGTTTCTTCTTTTCTCCTTTCCCCCATTCCCAGGTGTTCTGTCTTTGTTGAGCAGTTTCTTTCCCTTTCACATTGTCTATTATACCTTTTGGATCTTATTTACTCTTTCAGTTTCTTACACTAGGGAGACAATATGATGTTTACACATGTTAGTCTGGTTTATTTCACTTTTCAGTATGGTCTCTAGTTACATCCAAAAAATTTTTTTTTAAATGAAGGAGATTTTAATTAATTTAACTTTGCTGATTTAATTTGATTTTTGCCATCTCCTACTTTTTGCCTTTTCTACCAAAATCAGACATAAATTCTAATAATAAAAATAACACCTAACATTTTTTCCATTGGTGATAATTTGTGAAAAATGTTCAAAATAGGACAAATAAGTTCTAGTGTTCTAGAGGGCAACTATAGTGTACAACAACTCATTATATATTTTACAGAGAACTAGAGAGGAACTTGTATGCTTGAAACTCAAAGAAATGATAATTGTTTAAAGAGATGAGAATGCTAATTACTTTGATTTGATTACTACACATTGTATATACATATCAAATTATCACCTTGTACTCCATAAATAATTATATATTATGTGTCAATTAAAAATGAAATAATTTAAAAAAATGTCCAAAAGTATCATCCATTGATTTCAGGTCATCTTTAGGTAGCTCATTATTTGATTTTTTTTTTTTTTTTTTGGTTTTTCTCCAGTACCGGGAACCGAACTCATGACCTTGCACTTGCCAGGCAGGCGCTTTGCCGCTGAGCTAAATCCCCAGCCCCTATTATTTGATTTGTTATCTGTAGAGATTTTTGCTTTCTAAATATTTATCAGTAACTTAACAGGAAGTTGTCCAGTATAAAAAGTAGATTGACAAACTTGCATGTCTAGGTCGTACATGCTTAGAATAGTATATAATTTGTACAAGAACTAACTCCAGATTTACAAATAAATATTGGACTTACTTGGCTCTTGTTTTTCTGTGAAAAAGAAATCAAGTACATAGATGAACGAGAGATTTCTAAATGAAGAACAAAGTTATTTCTCAAACTGTTTATGGGAAGTTTTAGAAATAGAACTTTGACAGACCATTGAACTCTCTTTAGAGTCAGTCAACTACAGTGAAAGAATAAATTTCTTCAGATTATTCTGTTCAGGTTTTCTTAATTTTGATGCCTTTGGAAAAAGAGGATGAATGAAATGACTGGGAGGAAATATTTTCTCTTTTTGATTTATCTCTGCTGATTCAAAGTATTAAAATTCATTGATAAGATTTTTTTTCTTCGTGGTGCTGGGAATTGAACCCAGGGCCTTGTGCATGCAAAGGAAGAGCTCTACCACTAAGCCACATCTCCAACCCCGTTGATATGATTTTATGTCACTTTATTACACTGCTTTCTTATTCCTCTCTCTTCCTTTACTTGTTTGGAATATTGTGTTTATTCCTTGCCAGCATTGCATTGACTTGACTGCAAATTACTTCAGATTATTTTTTTTTTAAGGTTAATTTTAGAAAAGTTTCTCTTTTTCTTCCATAAGTATAAATACCTATGGCTGGGTGACCATATTTCTCCTCATTTCCTGGAAGGAGGCACTGCTTGATAGCAGAGTAATGTAGGTAGTCCTGGTATTTGTAATTGTGAGCTCCTGGGAAAATTACTTAACTGTACAGCTTCCTTTTTTTGTCTAATAGGAATTAATACTTATCTGATGTAATGTACGTGCATATGTAAGCCCTGATGCAGTGCTTGGCCCATTGTAAAGAATCTGGTAAATATTTGTTATCATAGCACCACATTAAATACTAAGCAATTTTAAGTGTAGCCTCCAATTTACATTATAGCAACCAATGGCCTTTGATAACTGAAAAGGGAGCAAGCTACTGGAAATACGAATAAGGAAATTGGAAGCTAGACAGTGAGGAATGCCGACAAATTAGTAAACCAAAGAGGAATACAAGGGCTGATCAAAATATGATCAAAATTATTACAGTAGAAGATACATTGGCGTTAATCCCCCTCAAAATACTCGCTTGTGCTTTGAACACATCCTATCATTCCTGGAACTTTTTAAATTTTAATAAGAATGAAAACATATTAACAAACACACAGACATAAACAAAACAACACAAAAACAATAAAAGAAATACAGAATTTCAGACAAGGTGATAGGACATTAACAATGGTTGTTGTATTACGTATTATTATCTTCTCTTGCAACTTTTTGAAGCAGGTCTAGAAGTCCTCTTTCATGTCTTTGTGAGGTATCACCAGAAAGATAGAAAATGCTGCTGCCGGGTACCAGTCAATGGGATGTAAGGTTTGTAAAGACATTATGGTGTGTCCTCACCCGTCTTATTTGATGGATCTGGGACTGAGCAATTTCTGGCTCTTTCCCAAGGTTGGAATGACTTCAGGTAAAGGTTCGAATTGATTCAAGACATGGAGGCAGCTATGAGAGTGTGACTAAAGATACTTACGCAAGAGGACTTTCAGAACTGCTTGAGAAAGTGTCAAGAGGATGTCCGTTTGAAGCGAGGGGGTGCATGTTGAGGATTGGTGCCAGTGTGTATTTTAATGTAATAATTTAGAAAATGTAAGCATTTGCTGTATTTTGCAATCATACCTCATAAAATGTTAGGCTGTGGTTACTCACACTACACACAGTCCAAAAAGGACTATGTAGACACCGTAAGAAATCAATGATAATGATAAAATGGAGAGAAACATGGAACTTACTTGCAGACTTCTCAGGTTTTGCTTCAATAAAAAAAAGAGAAACAAATTAGTGTGGTTGTCTAATGAGAGAGAAATAGTCTTTCACTGATGCCATTTCTAGGATGAAAGTGAAGCACTAAGTGAGAAGAAGGGATTTACACAGAGATTGCTTTGCTTTGGGAAGGTTACAGAAGGAAGAGTCCGGGGCTAGTGAAGGAGCCTCTCCCATGAGGGTCTCTGAGTTCACTCAGGAAATATATTTTGTCCCCACTTATTTTAGTTGATCACTTTCTTGGTCTTCCTTCGTCATTTTTGTCTCCCATCCCGCACCCACATTCTTGATCTCTGCAGTCCTTACCATTCTCACTGGATTTGCCCAGGTTGACGCTTCCTTTTCTGAGGGCAAGTGCTACCTACATTTTCTTTGTCAAACTCCATACTTGGTTTGTTTTTTTTTGTGAGAGCGGGTAATTAATAAATGTTGGCTGAATCAATGAAGAAATTCTCTTTACTGCGACCAGCCCTTTTCCTGTTCTCACACACTTGTCAGGAAGATTTTATGCCTTGTGAATGAAACAGACCTTAGGGCGCAGGAAGACAGGGAGTGTGGGAAGATGGACAAGAGATCCCTGGAGGAAGGGGTGATCTTATGGTGTTTTGTGCCAAACCCTGCCAGAACTTAGCTGTAAGAATTTGAAAACTCAATGAGACTAGAAGTAACACTTTCAAAGTTATTAGAAGTTTTCCAAGTCTGAATTTGGTTGCATAAATGTTAAAAAGTTTCATAGGTGTGTAAGTGTGTGTTCTTCACCATAGATGACTAAGCATCAATTTTATTGTGATATGTTACAATACTCAACTCAAGTTGCGCTATTTTGATGCTGAAGTGATGAGCATCGTTATGGGGTATGAAACCCTCATTCCTCATGGAATCCAGTACCAAGAAGGTACTTTAAGGGGTAGTGATTTTGCATGATTGAGAGCTGTAGGGCTTCAGCCCTGGAAGTAAGTGGGGTTCCTTCATACAGCCTCATAGACGGTGAACAGGACAGTTCCTCCTGCTCCCTAATCTTACATGCACCTGGTTATATAATTCACAGGTCTAAGCCAATTGTGCATAGTATGTTTATAGATGATTTTCCCCAAACTCTCCAAACAAGAGCAATAGACATTACCATATTGAGGGTCAATCAAACCAAACACAACTAAAAAATTAACTAAAATTAAACTATCACCTAACCTCTATTAGATTTATTTAAAAGAGCCAAATTCCTAAAAATATCTAAGGTTATTAAGCTAGAAAACTTTTCCTGTTATAGAGACGATAGTAAGAGCATAGAGAAGGTTTGTTTTGATGAACTAGTGGGCAAAGATCTGTAGTTTCTCTCTTAGAAATTCTCAGAAATAGTTAGAGGACAGGACACACTGCAAGAAGGGCTGGTCTTTTGCAGAGGGACCAAATTGGCCATGATGACCTGTCTCCTTAGGGTTTCACGGTATGTAGGTATGTATGTATGTATATATATGTATATGTATTTATTTTTACAGTGCTGGGGGTCAAACTTTGTGCACCCAGCACAAGCGCTCTGTGACTGAGCTACATTCCCAATTCTTTTATTTTTATTTTGAGAAACTAAAAAATATTCAGAGAATCATATCCCCAGCATCAAGGTTTATTGTCTATAACATTTGCCACATTTGCTCCCAATTTTTCTTTTAAGAGCTGGCTGATTAAAAAATAAAAAACTGGCTTCCTAAAAAAAAAAGAGCTGGCTGGAATCCCTCTGAACCAGCAATCCCGGGATCATTCCCTTCCACTTGCTTTTGGGAGACAACCACTATTATGACATCACTGTGTGCCCAGTACTTTTTTAAAAAGTGCCTTAACATTTATGTGGACTCTAAATCCATGTATTTGGTTTAAATATTTTTCCTTTTACGTGTCATCTTTTGATATTTTGTACCTGCAAGTATGTTTTTGCATCTGTCTTGCTTCAGTCCACACTATCCGCACCATGGTTTGAGATTTTTTTCCTCAGTTATATACACATAGACACATGTAGTTAGTCCATTTTAAACTGCTTAAGTGTTGCTGATTTTTTATTGTTTAAAAAGTGTCAAAAGACCCTTACACGTGTTTTCTTGTGTATATATATGTAAGACTTTTCTCTAGGGTTTATGCCTGGAAGTGGAATTCACTGGGTCTGTGTATGCTTAGCTGAATACTAACAATTGCTGAGAATGCAAGTTCTCACTTCACCCCATAATTGCATAGATACCTGATCCTGTCAGGCAAGACATATTGCCAATTATTTTGAGAAAAGAAGTATTTAATTTTTACATTGCATTCTTTGGTCATTAATGAGATCTAGCAACTTTTCTCATATTTTATTAGGAATTCAGTATTCTTACCCTTACTTTTTTTCAGCATTGGGGATTAGACCCAGGGTCTTCACACTGAGATTTATCTTCAGCCCCTTTTCTAAATTTTAAAAATTGGGCTGGGGATATAGCTCAGTGGCCCAAGTGCCTGGCTGGCAAGCACAAGGTCCTGAGTTCAATTCCCAGTACCAAAAAAAAAAAAAAAAAAATTTAAAAATTGAGACAAGATTTCACTAAGTCACTAATTTGCCCAGTCTTGGCTTGAACTTGTGACAGTATCCTTGTAATTGTGAGCTGCTTATCTTTATACTTAACTCATTTATATCTTTTCCTTTTCTAACTGATTATGGCATTTTATTTATATTTTTAGTATTGATGACACTGTTAGTTTTATGCCTAGGAAATATTTTTTGTCTGTTTGTGTCTTGTCTATTAATCTTGATAGTAGAGTGTTTCATCAGTAAGAAGTTTTGAATTTTATTTTTTTTGAGACAGGGTCTCACTATGCAGCTCAGCCTGGCCTTGATCTCACTTTGTAGTGCAGGCTGGCCTCGAACTTGCAGTGACCCTCCTGCATCAGCCTCTCAAGTGCTGGGATTACAGGCATGCTCCACCACAAAATTTAGAATTTTAGTTAGCCAACATTTATGTTTCATGTTTTATAGATCATTTAAATGAAAGCCTCTTTGTTATTTTAGAGCTACAACTATCTTGTCCTAAATTTTTCTTCTGGTAGTGATAGAATTTATGTTTAGGTATTTAATTTGCCTAGATGTTGTTAAATATAAAGATAGTTCTAAGAGTATTTATTGAATTATCCATTTGGTCTGGGATCAGTGTTGTCATATAAGAAAGATTTATCTCTGGGTTTTAATTCTGTCTTTGATTTGGTCATTCCTGGATTGACATCACATTCATTCAATGCTATAGTTTTAAACAAGTTGGTAGTCAAACATAGTGCAAAAGGATGAGCCTCCCTTCTTGAACTTTTATGTTATAGAAATGGTGTCTTTTCTTGGATCTTTTCTCTTCCAAAAGAATCGTATTGCTTTTTCAACAGTTGTGAAAACTCTTATTTGATTTTTAGTTGAATATTAATTTTGAAAAAATTGGAGGAGAATTGACATTTTTATAATTGTTGAAATTTCCTGTCTTTGAATCTGGCTTCTCTCTCCATTTATTCAGATCTTAAGTTTTTCAAAGGCATTGTTAAAAACTGGAGCCAAGTTGACCACTGAGAAATGGCCCTTGTGTTCCCTTTCCTCCTTTAGTCGTAGTGCTGGCTGAGTGTAGCTGTCCCGCCAAAGCCTCGTGCAGTCTTAGATGGGGCTTTTGCAGAGTGATTGAATTTAGAGTGTGATGCTGAAATTAGGGGGGTGTGATTACTAAAATTGGTCCACTGATTGGTTAAAAAGGACAGAAAGACACTAGTAAGCTCCCTTGTTGCTTTTGCTGTCTTCTGCCACAGTGAACTGTTGCCCTCTGCCATGTGCAACCCTGCCTTGGAGCCAGATGATTATGGACTGAAACCTCTACAAACTGTGAGCTAAAGACACGTTTCTCTCCTTAGTTTTGGGCATCAGATATTTTGTCTGAGAAATGAGAAAAGTAACTAAGACATCAACATTGAAAAATCAGTTTCCATTTTAAAAAAAATTGTTTTCATTAGGTAGCAATTTGGAGCAAATGGATGAATGTTTTATTTTAGGTTCCAGTGCTAACCAGACCGCTGAGCGGTTTAAGAACACATAAGGCCTGCTGTCTGTCTTTCCTTCTCTCCCTTTCTTGCTCCTTCCCTAACTTTCTGTTTTTCTCTTCATTTCCCCAGCTTCGTTTTCCCATCCTCAGCATTGTTTATCTCAGGACACAGGGTTTCTGTCATTGTCATGTGTAATGCTAAATGCTCAGGTGAAGTTGTGTTAACTTGCTCTTATGTTTATAATGTTCTCTATATAAAGCAATACATTTGTAAAGGTTTTTGTCCTAGGAGATTTGTAAGCTTTGCTGCTTTAGTAAATGGTTTAATTTTATTTTCAAATTATATTTTCTAAATTTTATTGTTGGAATAAAAGAATAGTTGATGAGTTTTGTTTGCTAGTGTAACCAGCAATTTTGCTGACCTCATCAAACTTAATAGTCTCTTTACTTATTTTTTGATTTTGTGTGCAGATAATCATAGTCTGATAATATGAAAAATTTATCCCTTCTTTTGAATCTTTTTCTTCATTTTTTCTTGTCTCAACTTAGACTTGAGTGTTAATATTTAAGGAAGTCCTCATCTATTCCTTAATTAGGTTATATTTCTTGTTAATAAGAGTTTTGGTTATGAATCCATGCTGTCTTCTAAATTTTTCTCTAAAGATTATCATATAGATTTTCTCCTTTTACTTGTGAGCCTAGTGAATTTATTGATAGATTTTTCTGTCATTTCTTTTGTGGTCATGAGGTATTAAAAAATAAGTACAGTATTGGCTTAGATTTGCAATGTTTGTTTAAGAAATTTATACTTATTTCTAAGTAAAATATGTCTATATGATGCTTTCACTTTGTGTTAAAGCCATTTACTATAAAAATTTCTAAGTAATAATTTTAATAAGTAATTATTGTACTAATTTTTAAGTGATATTTTAGCTGTATCCTAAGTGCTTTGATAAAAATGA